AATAGAGTAAAACAACACATTTATGATTGTAAAAATATTAATATATTAAAAGAGAATAAAACAGCATTAGCAACCCACCACTTTGACCAACATCATAATTTTAAGTTTGATAAGATAGAAATCTTGGATAAAGAAATGAATTGGTGGAAACGTAATGTTAGTGAAATGATCTTTATAAAAACTAATGATACTGTGAACAAACGAACAGACACTAACAATTTAAGTATTTTATATAATGATATATTAAAAGAGTATAAATCTAATAGAAAAAAATAACCTTCATTTCAGATATATTTGAATTTGATACTTAGCGAGGTTTGCGCTAGTATAAAATATTGTAAAGTATAGTCTATGTACTGAAGTTTCAATAGTGGGCTAACCTTTGTCACGCAATTAGCAATTTTATGTGTCGTGTTGGCTTTGTTTCCGGAATCAAAAAATAGTAATTAAATAATTTAGTGGCTTTGTAGATTTGTATTAGTCTCTGATGTCTGAGACAATTGTGCAGTGTATGATAGAGATTATTTAAATTCATATTATGGTAAATATGGTAGTTTGGACAATTGTTGTTTTTTGTATTGTAGGTTATCAATTATGTGTAATTTTCAGATGCCTGATGAAGGTCTAATAAAAGACCGAAACGTTGCTAAAATAATAATGTAATTTGTTATAATAGTCCTATCTTGTCCACATTCCTGAGATACACGAAAAATATTTTATAATAATTATGGACGACAATATTGATAATACCATATTTAAGATTTTTTAGTTTTTATATTGAATGAAACACCTTCATTGTGCCTATAAACCATTTTAGACCTTAACACTCCGGGTTTAAAGGCTATTTTTAGAAATTGCCGGTCATCAAGGAGTTGTGTCCGCAGAAAAAGTACAATAAGTAACAAAAGTTTGTTGGCGTTTTCTCAAAATTAACAAATTTCGCAGAGTGTGTTCTAACTGTAGGCCCACACGGGTAGATCTCACCGTCCCACTTGTTTCTGCCGCGAAGCAATGATATCATGCAACGCTTTCCAGTTCAAACCACCGATTGAGGCAGTCCTGAATCCAATTCAGAGTCCGACCTCATTACACAACACGGATGACGGTATTCACGTTTTGTTGCCTACCGTCATCCATAACTGATTGACATAAAGTTCAATCACCTATTAAAGTAGCAAAATTAAGTCTCAGGTCTAAAGGTGAGTGACTGCATTTATGATGTAGTTGTCTACGATTGTCTCCGGTAAACCAAAAAAATAATAAAAAAACGGTGATATCAACTTTCGGAAATTAAAGCCCTATATTTTACATCTCATAGATCCGACACTAATTTCATAATGATACATGTTTCCGTCTCATTCCTTCGTATTGCGATCGCCCGGGTTTCGAGCAGGACAGTCGTGCGGTACGTGAGCTAGGACCTACCTGAGTGAGGCCGAGCCTGTAGCTGGTGACGTCCAAGTCCAAGGCCAGGAGCATGTCGTCGACGACCTGCCTGTCCGAGAGGGTCTGCTGCTGATTCGTTTCGGACTCTTCACTCTCGGATGTCGCTAGGAGACGATATCTGTGACGGAAAGGTTTGGCCCTTAGAAAGGTTTAACTGTTAAATGTATTCGATTATTTCTTACTAGTTCCCCATATATAATAATATAATAATTAATTGGTGGTAGGACCTCTTGTGAGTCCGCACGGGTAGGTACCACCACCCTGCCTATTACTGCCGCGAAGCAGTAATGCGTTTCGGTTTGAAGGGTGGGGCAGCCGTTGTAACTATACATGAGACCTTAGAACTTATATCTCAAGGTGGGTGGCGGCATTTACGTTGTAGACGTCTATGGGCTCCAGTAACCACTTAACATCAGGTGGGCTGTGAGCTCATCCAACCATCTAAGCAATAAAAAAAAAAAAAATATATATATAAGGTCACGGCCACCGTGCCGCCCCGCGTCTTGAGACATGAGGTCTATTTCTCATGTGTATCAAATAGCAAAGGTCGCACATTTCAAAGCTAAATCGCGAGGTTGTTTAACGGCATAAACAGGCTGATTGATACATACCCTCACCATTTTTTTGGTCGGTTGGTAGCCGACTAGAGTTGATACCAACGTCAAGTCTCTTATTAAGCCATCATACTTTTCATCATTGGGAGTAAACGACATAAAGATCTTCCACCGAGCGGATGAAATTGCTCGGTAGACCGACTGTTGAAATAATGTTTTCGGAACTAGTTTTTAAATAAGCTTAAAACTTTTTTTAAATAAGTTTTTAAATAAGCTTTTAAATAACTTATGTATATAAAATGTAAGACTTATTATTCATGTGACGTTTGATATGTTTATGATGACATACCTTCTGGCGAATTCCGACAGCGGCATGTGCTCGGGGAAACCTTGCTTGTAAAGCCTCGACGCGTCCAGCAGTTGGAAGCCGCGGAACTGTGATTAATTAAATTCATCATTAAATTCGTCATTTGTAAAATTTTTAATGATGGCAAGATAAAAAAAAGTTAGGACGTGAAAAGTTATAGACGCGTATTTATTTTGAAATTCGAATGTAAAAAATATGTTATCTGTTAAAATTCTAAAATGAGAAAAAAAAACAAAGTTTCTATCTATCTATATATTAATAGGTGAAGCAAAAACTTTGTATCCCTTTTTACGAAAATTGCGCGGACGGAGGAGTATGAAATTTTCCACACTTATAGAGAATATAGAGAAGAAGTGCACAATGCTAATATTTTTTTAAATAATGCATAAAAGATACATTAAATCAATAAAGAAAACGTTACACACACTACCATGTATTTGACACACACACATAATATACTCTTTGTTTATTGTCAAACTTTTGTTATTGCTTAAAGTCTGTAGTCAAATTGAGAATTGGTAATAATTGTTTATCTTTAATATTACGAATATTTGTCTATAGTGTAGTCTGTAGAAACTTATAATTTCAATTAATTATGGACTTTTTGGCGGGAATGCGAGGACTTGAAGTTGTGTGATTTGTTTTATTTTGTCTATTTAGTGTTTCTTCACGATTAAATGTGCAATAATGGTGGTTTATTAACTGTTTGATATCTGTGAAAGTGCACAAATGTGGGAAAATGAAACAAAGCCGCTGGACGTAGCTACTCGGGATTCTCCAAAAAGTCCACTGAAAAAATCTCAGTAAATGACCACCATTTTACTGAAATTATTTTTCATCCAATATCATCTCTTTTCATTTCATTTCACTCCATATTATCATTTTTCATACAAAAAAGGATTAAATTAAAATAAGACATGACTTAAAGGTCTTAGTTACCAGGTCATAAAATAACTTAAAAAAAATCAATTAATTACAGTCGAATTTCGACTACTGCGGGATCACACTAGTATCTTGAAATTCGAAAATTGAATCCCGTTTTGATGTTCCAAAATTGAAAAAATTCAAATTCGAATCGGACCTGCGATCGTAGGAGCGGTACGTTGACGTCATCGGGCGAGTCGGTCGGTCGGTTCGCGAGCAGACAGCACACGAACATGACGCCGCTCGTGCCGCACCGCCGCAGCGTGTCCACCACGCCGTCCGCAACGAACTTCGCTTGCAGGGCGGTCGAGCGCCGCTTCATACCGGCCGTACCTGAACGGCAATGTACAACGAAATATTACAACCAAAATCAGACATAAGGAGAACAGTAAGTAAACTTAAATAATGAAAATAAATATATTTTCTAATACATACTTACTTTTACTGGTGGTAGGACTTCTTGTGAGTCAGCGCGGGTGGGTACCACCACCCTGCCTATATCTGCCGTGAAGCAGTAATGCGTTTCGGTTTGAAGGGTGGGGCAGCCGTTGTAACTATACTTGAGACCTTAGAACTTATATCTCAAGGTGGGTGGCGCATCTACGTTGTAGATGTCTATGGGCTCCAGTAACTACAATGTTGCTACTGCAGATTTCTGATATATCGTACGTTTAGAATTGAAGTAAAAAATTAAGATTGGAGTTTTATACTTCGAACGACTTATAGACACGTATTCTGCTTATAAAGTTAAACGGTTTCTTTTCTGTCTCTTTTATATCAAGTATTATTAAAAGTATTAAAATCGAAAAACAAAAAAATTATAATTCTTCAATTACATTTTTCGCGTGTCCTAAAAAAAAACAAGAATTTTGGATTATACCATCTCAATTCCAAAAGTGCAATATGTTTCACGAAACAAAATTGATATTATCAACGTCAAATCACGAGGTGAAATCAGTGAGACACGTAGACCACACAAAAATATATTATACTAAAACAGCATCACTCGATTCATTCCCAAACAATAAAATTTTCAGTGGGTGGCGATTTCGATCCGGTGGTAGATTCTACGAAGCACTGTTCTAGCTAGGGCTAGTGTTAGCAAATGCTCTCAGGTTGAGCACGTGAGCTCACCCACTCCTGCGCGCATAGGTGGAATAGCCTCTTAGACTACCAGCGAATAGGTAGGGAAAAAAACTTTCCGTAGCAGAGTCTCGAGGTCTCGAGTTCTCGAGTTGAGTTGAGTCTCGTTGCGGAGTCAAGACTCGACTGCGTTTGTTTGTGGCTCACCCGAAGTAAGAGTTCGTCGGATAGAAGAAGCCCGCCGTAGAGTAGTGGCGTCCCCCACTGCGGCCGACCACGCGCTCACGCCGCACGCGCCTCGAGCCCACGACGACAGCCGAGACACTTCCTCGCTGGAAACATTAACAGATGTTAACGAGTCGTCGTGGCCTAAAGGGTAAGACCCCCGGTGCACTCGAGCGATGCGAATGTCTCCATGTTCGAATCCCGCAGGCAGATACCAATTTTTCTAATGAAATACATACTAAGCTACGTTCACGATTGACTTCCACAATAAAGAAATATAAAAAATATTTTTTTTGTGATTACTGATTTTTTTTCTAAGCCCCCATCCCATATGATACAACATGGGTCAACATAACGCCTTTTCCATTTTCAAGTTAATATTAACGTTTTAATTATTAATTCTTTTATGTAATGTATTCATGATATGAATAAGATATAAGTAAACGTTCTCTCACTTCTGGCTCTCCTGTAGTAATGTGAGGGACTTCTTCGTGACTGGGTTTTCGCGGCTCGCCTTCACCCAGCCGGTCACGTCGTACAGCACCGGGTTAGTTCCCTGTTGGCACATCACGATTATAGTTTAAATGTAAAATCTTTTGACTCTAAAAGAAAGACTCAAGTCGTTGAAGAACACACAACAGCCGAAAATAGCTGAGTATCATAAACCGTAAAGAAGCACAGATTGTCTTGACGCCAAAAACTGTTCTTTTATCCGTTTCGTTATTCGTTTGTATTATAGAAAATCTGGGGCCATATTTATGATGTTATTGCACTTTTAAACCGAATTTATAGAAAACAATAAATATGCATTCATTCGTTCATTCGTTCATTCATTCATTCGTTCATTTATTCAGTTATTTATTCACTAGTGATACTGAGAAGCTCTTGCTCCGTGTACTAAGTGCGAGTTTTTTAACGTTCTCGATAGCGTAATAGTTAACAATTCCTTACAAATTTGAGTTAACTTTTACGCTATCGAGAACACTAAAAAACTAGCGCTAAGCACAGTTTTATCATCCAAATGGGACTTTGATCTCGTGCCTTCTTTAATTGTGTGACGTTATTCAAACTTGTGATGTCCGTGGACTTTGGTAACAATACAACATGGGATGGCAAGATAGTTAGTCGAATTAGTCAATGAATAAAAAATAATTATACCTGTAAATGCTGCAATATAAACTGTCTGGCATGCGGGGCCTTCTTGATGAGGTACTGCATCTGATTCGGCGGACCGTAGTGCGTCATCACTCGCTCTAGGAACGTGTCGTCGGACGAGCCGGGATACATGGACTCTTCATCTAGTAGCCTTATAAAGAAATGTTTTAATTCAGAACAAATCCTTTCAATTATATCAAAACATCACTAGAGTCTAAGTGCAATTCGATTGAGAAGTTATATACATTTACATGCAGTTACGATATTATAATTACAACGAGAAAAACTAGCAGGGACGGTAAATAAATATTAAATGAGGGTAGCAATAAAGATGTATCAGTGCGGTCATCGACCCCCAGATTTTGTACGCATACATTGCTGGTTCGGTCGGTTACACAAATAGTTATTGTTTTCGATGTTACTCTTAGTAGATTATATTATTATTTAGACATTTAATGTATACCATAGTAGTCCGCGTCGGTCGCATTCCCGCAGGTCGGTCTGTGAGCTCCGCACGATCGAGTTCTGCGGAGCCTTGTCCAAGAGCTCTACCATCGGTCCCGGGCTCACCGCTTCCGACAGCCAGTCTGTACGAACATCACACGCTGTTGTTGTTACATTGCGCGATCTAGCGACTGAGTAGTATAGAGGAATTGGGGGGAATAGGGACTAGAGGTAGAATAGGGACAAATCTGGGATGTCCCAATACTTTTGTTGAGTTGTTAGATTTAACTTTGTTGAACTGAAAATTACTTGTATTTAGTGCTTAAGAAAATATTATTAAATAGTTTAATTTAGTCATCAAAGTTTTGCAACTCATTAAACACTCTTTTACTGGTGGTAGGACCTCTTGTGAGTCCGCACGGGTAGGTACCACCGCCCCGCCTATTTCTGCCGTGAAGCAGTAATGCGTTTCGGTTTGAAGGGTGGGGCAGCCGTTGTGACAATACTGAGACCTTAAAATTTTATCTCAAGGTGGGTGGCGCATTTACGTTGTAGATGTCTATGGGCTCCAGTAACCACTTAAACACCAGGTGGGCTGTGAGCTCGTCCACCCTCCTAAGCAATAAAAAAAATAAGTTACCTTCATCAGCTCCGTCGTCGAGCGCGATCCCCTCCTGCGCGTACCGGTCCCGCGGCGCCACCAGCATGGCCTCGTGGAACACAGCTTGGAGACGTTCCTGTTTCGCACTCATTATTTTAAGGTTGCGTCGCCTTGTTGGCACTTTATTAATTACTTTTGTTAACGTTATCATCTTTTTTTTCTCCTACCTAAGCTGGTAGCCTTGAGAGGCTATTTCAGCGTAACCTTAATTACTAGGTGAGCTCACGGGGCTCAAACCTGACGACGTTGCTAACACGAACCCTAGCAAGAGCCGTGCTTCGCAGAATCTACCACCGGATGGGAAACGCGACCCACTGAGAAGATCCGGCGAGAAACTCAGTGGGCTGTGTCTTTGAGTTAATTTACTCGTCGAACCCGTCGCTTGCGATGAAGGGCTCGACGAGTATCGAACGATGACCGGTGGCTATCATCAACGACTAATTAGCTAGAGTAAAGCGTGACCGAAGTTCACTAGTGTATAACAAAATTGTCATTATATGTAACAATTCTTAATTAACTTTTTAAAAAAAACTACATTATAAATACAAAGCTTACTTGTAGATAGTTAGACAGTAGTTTGGACAGCCCTGCCCCGCTCTGTTGTCCGGCGCACATAGGGTTGTCAGCCCCGGGAGTGTCCAGCAATAATATCGAAGCTGATGTCCTCGCCGACGTGGATAAGCTCCTGAAAGATCAAAAAAAAATTAAGCTCTATGAAGAACTAGTAAAGCTGAATTAAAATATGTTCTGTACTAAATTACTGTTTAAGAGGAAACTATTTTGTGCTTCACTGTATATTTAAAAACAACTTTTGATTTCAGTTAAATCGAAATTTAATTTTCCTTTTTTGCACACTGTACTACATAATTCTATGAAACAAAACAGTATGCTTAGTGCGAGTTTTTTAACGTTCTCGATAGCGTAAAAGTTAGCCCAATTTTGTATGTAGTTGGAACAGCGCCCCTAGCGGCAAACGTAGGCAAACGTTCCAACTCCATACAAATATGAACTAACTTTTACGCTATCGAGAACGTTAAAAAACTCACACTAAGCACACAGACGTAGATACATTTGTCGTACCTGTTGACGAGTGCAGCGACGATGTTGAAGGTTTCATTGTAGAGGCCGTTCACGAACCCGTCCAGCGCTTCAGTCGCCGATATCTCTTTCTCGTTCGAAGGCGACGGAGTTCTGAATGAAAACAAAAACTTTAACTAACTAAGGTTTACGATACAATAAGTAGCGTATATAGATCGATGCGATATGATAATAAATTTAATATAAGCGCCATCTACACAATTCGTATCGTACTATTTGTAAGTTCAAATTTCACAATATTACGTTGCTTCTGTGTGCTTTGCAAATGGAGCGGACACACATTGTTTATGAATAAATAATTAATCTATACTAAAAATTATAATTCGATTCCACATTTGACATTAGCTACTATCATTTTGTAAAATAATGATACCACATATAATAGCGTAGTGATGGACACAAAAATCGATAAACAATCGCGATTTATGTTTATGTAATCTTAATATTGGTGTGCCAATTAAAGACAATTTATATTTTTTTTTATTTAAATAAATACATAATTATTCATAATAATTATTTATTAATGGTAATCGCTGCTCTATTTTATAAAAAGTTAATATTTTTGATTTAATATTAAAAACAAAACTTATAATAAAATAGCCTAGATAGTTTTCTGTATTGGCGGCTGCCGGTAGCTGCACGTACGCGCTCGTGCAGCTACCGCCATTTTGTTTATCTTGTCATTCGGCTTCATTCTCCCAGTCTGACTGCACGAATGGTCTAAATGCGTATCCCATGTTGTCAAAGAAGAGGAAAAAATGAGTAGGTTACATGTGTTAATTGACAATATCACAGACACATTTATAATAAATATTACAGAAAGTGACAGCGATAGCGATAGCGATGACGGCGACAATTTATAAAATAAAATATTACCATAATACATCTATCTGTTTTATTTCTCATGTTCTTTCATGATCACATTTTTTTATTTATTTCACACACAATTATTAAAGAAAACTCTCACATCGTTAATTAATCGTCAAAACTAAATAATCTGTTCAGAAATATTTAATTTCCTGATATGTTTAGTTTACGTGAATAAAATTATAAACGAGAAAAATCGATCCGGAAATATTCCATTTCCATATCGAATAATTTCACAACGTCACTATTTAGTACTTTTCATAACATTGCAACACTGAAATTGTCAAATCTGGAATCGAATTAAAATTCCGACTTTAGAATTAATCAGGGACGGTCGTCTGATTAAAAAACTAGGATTGGTTGAACTATGGAGAAACGAATAAGCTTTGAAATATATACATAGAAATCCGATACAGTGCAAACAATTTTGTTCGTCACCCGTCGATCGAATCTCGGCCTCAAGTTCGCTAACGACTACACCGCCGAGCCCTCTGTGACTTTTTGAAGTGATAACTCCTTAACACGTTCACGTGAGCAACCTCATTTCTGAATATTGATACTGTGGTGAGCCTTTTTCCCATACAAAGTTTAGCAGCGTCTAAAAACGTCCCGCCGTAATACGTACATCTCATGATGTTTTTTTTTTTTTAGGGAACGCGGCGGTTTAGGCTGTGAAAATCGAATGTGTTGTGGTGCTAAGCAGATGCGCCATAGGAATTTGCCAATAAAATAGAACTCCAAAGAAGTTCCGACAAAATAAATATGATAATCTAGAAGCCGTCATATGACGTTGCGCCATTTAATAATTTTAAAAACACGGCGTTGCTCAAACGATCGTGTTAAGGGAGGATAAACCGCTTCGTTATGTAACGCGTGACGCCGCCATTTTGTCTGGCTTCCCTTTCTCTCACGCATACGACAGCGGTACTGAAAACGTATGTAACTCCTAACTATTTATATATATTTTTTTTTTCAATTTATGTTACAATTTTCCTTACATTATCATATTAATATACATAAAATTTAAGTTAAGCTTTTCTCAAGTTAAACAATTTCAATATTTAATAGTTCAACTTAGATCAGTTTAAGTTATCAACTTTTGTCGGGCGTCCCGAGATGCACATTTTTATTTGAAATAGTTGCACGTTTCTATTTCACGGAAACTTTAAATTCACAAAAAGCACAAATAGAGAGATTTTTGCGTACCTCAAGTTGGAATTGGACTGTGGGGATGTGGGCACAGTGGCGAAGACAGATCGCATCAGCTCCTCGGGAGTGACGCCCAGCATCTTGGCAGCGCGCTGACCGCACCCCGTACTGGCGAATTGAAATTTGACGGCTGACCCAGAGTTGGCTAAAAAAAAAAGAAGATAATTTGAATTTACTATAATTTACAACTTTATTGATGTTCAAAATTTTTTTATTTTTTTTATTGCTTAGATGGGTGGACGAGCTCACAGCCCACCTGGTGTTATGTGGTTACTGGAGCCCATAGACATCTACAACGTAAATGCGCCACCCACCTTGAGATATAAGTTCTAAGATCTCAGTATAGTTACAACGGCTGCCCTACCCTTTAAACCGAAACGCATTACTGCTTCACGGCAGAAATAGGCAAGGCGGTGGTACCTACCCGCGCAGACTCACAAGAGGTCCTACCACCAGTAAAACCAGGTGGGCTGTGAGCTCACCCATTTAAGCAATAACAAAAAAACTTAAACTAAATCTGACCTTTGACGGCACCAGCCCATCCCAAATGACATATAGCAGCCATGATCTTCCAAATGGCCATCTGCTCGGATTCCGTAACGCCCAGTTTCTGCAGAGCCTCCTTTAGCGCTGAGAATTCGGCGGGAGCGTCGGCCTTCTCTTGAGAGCTGAGGAAGGGGTTGGGCGCCGTCACCGGAGCCTGCTCGAACAGGAGTTCGCGACGGAGGCGACCGTCGCAGCCGTGGAAGAGCCTGGAGAAAGAGACGTAACGTTTTGACAGAGGCTATTATAGCAACGATTAAGCAATCAGGTATTAGGGTTCAAACTATGGAGGGTAGAACTAAAGAGTATCATCTTCCATAGGGGAAAAGTTGAAAAAGTATCCACCTGTAAACGGTAAGTTATTGTTGGAAGAAAACAGCCATAGTGTAGGAAGTGGAAATTATATGAAAATAGCAGTTTTAAACAGACTAAAGTGTGCTGGGTTGAAGTATGATAATCTATAGCACTATTTTTAAAATCATTTCACTTAGTATAGCGCCTCCTTAATTGACACAATTTCAGCGGACACGTTTTAATACACTGAGATGGTGCTCATGGAAGGTATTCTATAGTTCAAACTGAAAACATATCATCTTGGGCATGTAGTGGGAGGGGCTAGAACAGACTGCCAAAGACCGATGTAAATAGAAGGATTTGATTCGAACCTTACGCCCCAGTAGAGGGTAACAGAAAAGAAAGAAGAACAAGACATATTTTTGGTGTACATTTAAAATAATACTCACGTATGGAGTGCTCGAAGCGTTGTCTGACCAGGTTTGAAGTCGGGTAGTAACGTTTGCACTGAGGCGGAGACGAGAGCGCCGCCGCCGTCGAAGTCGAGTGACGTCAGAGACACGAAACGCGACGCATGAGGATTAGATCCAGTACTGGTTAAAAATTAAATATGAAAGGTTTCCATTAAAATAGTATCACAAATAAGTCACTGTTTTCTTCAACTACTTTCGGTATTGTCTTTATCTCGAACTTAGGAGCAACAAAAGAAATACAAAAGATAAACAGCTGTTAGAAATTAATTACGGAATATCGCGGATTTTTACGTCACGTAAGATGTTTCTTAGAAACAAAAGCATCAAGATTTCTTACAAATGTATCAAGATTGAGTAGAACGGCTAGTACTAGAGTAGACTGATATGATGACTAATATAATGATTCCAAAGATATAGTAATAATATTAAGTAAATGTTGGTTTATCAATTTGATACTTTGTGAGCCTGCAATATAAATACTGGACGGCCCCCGCGTCGCAAGAGGCCATTAACCTCGCACTTGGATTGATATCTAATGGCAGGTAAAGTTACAATTTTTGAGTGTATCTTATGAGTTATCGTCGCCGGTTTTCATCTTCCGAAACGGCTTTGCCAAACCAACGTCTTCCATTCAAACAATCAAAACATTGCAAACAACAAAATCAGATTACGTACCGACTGGATCCAAACATGTGTAGGACATCGAAAGCTGCGTCCAGTCGCTCAGGAGTCAATTTCGAGCCTTGAGTTGGGTAGGCACTAGCCAGGTACCAAACGCAGTGCCGCATTGCCGATGTCTTACCCGAACCAGACCTATGGAACAAGAGATCATATGATTTAACTCAGGTCTCGATCATTAATGCATTGTAAAAATATTAGTAAGCGAACCTTGCCTAAAGAAAGATATATCTCATGTTGGGAAGCATCTACACGCAGTCTCATATAGACATATGAAATACTTATCGCTGTACCGTGTCGGATATCTGTAAATTCAACTATACCTTCTCAAGCTAGCCTCCCTAACAAATCTTGATCTAAATATCTAAGCCTTTTGCCGTAAATAAATTAATAATAAAAATCCTCTTTTATGATCAGATATCTATAACGTAAGCTTTTTCGCCTTTAATTGCTTCTAATCTATTAAATATGAAACTTCTTTAAAAAATGTTATTTATATATGTAATTATTTAAAAAATAAAGTAGAGATCCCAACACGAACTCCACACGAGCTAAGAAAAGCTTATGGCAAGATAAGAACCGACTAAGTCTATAATTTCGAAATACGCTATGCCATTATAATAAAAAAAGTCAACAATATTTTGTAAATCAGAATTATTTGAAATCAAAACATAAAAAAGATAATAAACGCATACGTACATCACAATAAAATCTAATCGTTGTTGCTATTGTATTAAAGTTCTAAACGTTTTTACAATCACCATTAAAATACAAATTAAGTTACTACGTACGTACTTTACTACGAACAGACGTAGTATGGTTAAACAAAAACAAACTGGTATATTATACGAATAGTTTTAATTCTTATCAATTAATTTCGAATACACAAATTTGAATACGAGATACACATACCTGGAACGGCAATTAATCTTGCTATTGTATTAGAATAAATTTCAATATTGCCAAACGAATTGTTGTACTTTAAAATTCTTAGTGTTGCCAAGGTTTATTTGGCGCCAGGCTTATTACGCAACTTAGCCAGTCACATTTATACCCCACTGATACTCCGATGGGAATTACACAACCCGTTTACAAGAATTCGTACTAAATTATATATCTAAGTTATTTTACTTCACAAATCTTTCATCTTATCTTATGAACGAGCTAACCAAAAAAGGATAGCTGATTAGTTTATTTGCTCTCGAAGTGAGAGCGACAGTTATACCAGCGAAATCTCTCTGTAACCTACTAAAAGACTTCAAGATCTTCCGTAAATTCTATACTTGAAAGAATATCTAAAGCTGCACTAGTAGGTTCTTATTCAAATTTGACTAGACAGGGAGAGAAAGGCGGAAAATTGAGGTGAGCGTAATGCGCATTGATAGCGGGTCCTTAAACCTAAAATCGGGTAGGAAGTCTGCTAACATTCTTCAAATCAATTCCTCTCTCTGCAACACTAAGCCTGATACCCGCACGATGCATCCATGGATTACTAAGTAATTCTTCTCTGTTGACTTTTTTTATGCAGCAATAAAATAGGTAGATATATGAAATCACGACTCACGATATTAAGTGAATTCCCCCACTCTGAATCATGTGGTTAAAGTTTCTATTGTATTATGGCAGAATTAGGCAAGGTGATCGTAGCTAACCCTGCGGGTCCACATTACGCCCTACCACCAAACAGGCTTTGTTTACCACCAAACAGGCTTTGTTTTTCTAGGAGATTTGTTACCTGCCGAGGAAGACTATGGCTCGATCTCGCCTAGACGCGAGCATACAGCGGTGCGCAGATTGAGCTGCGGCGAACACGTGAGGCGGCATGTCATCGGCGCGACAGCCGCGGAACATAGCCGCCACCTTCAAAAAAACATATCCTTATTGACAGTTTTCATCGAATACAATTCTCATAAAATTCTTATAAAAATACATCGGTTCGTTTTAGGCCGTTGGAAGGGCAGCCGTTGTAACTATACTGAGACCTTAGAACTTATATCTTAATGTGGGTGGCGCATTTACGTCGTAGATGTCTATGGGCTCCAGTAACCACTTAACACCAGGTGGGCTGTGAGCTCGTCCACCCACCTAAGCAATAAAATAAAATAAAAAAGTTAACAATTGTCAACGTTTCATACTGAACGACGCCTAACTAGCAATTTCTTCTGTTTTATGGGTGCTGGAATCACACACAAGAATCAGATCTCTTATACAAGATTTCGTTGTCACTTCCTGATAGCAGGGATATCCTATGATATCGATGAACCACGGCACATTAATATCTTATTAAGAAACGGTTGACAGAAAATCACATAAGTACTAATGAATATAAAACTTACAGTACAGTAAAAGCTCTATATTCGCAGGTTTCCGTAAATATGCCGCGAATACAAAAATCGTGAAAATGGAAAAGCGCGTATACAAAGGATATTCGTTTAGATACCTACACATTGGACTGCTTTTTATCAATGTGTAAGTACCAATGTACCGATTAGATCCGTGAATAAAGAAATCTTTACCCACAAATTTAAGTATTACGGTGGCATCTTTTTTACCCGCGAATATTGAAAACGCAAATGAAAGAAGCACGAATAAGGAGCTCATGTACTGTATACAATACTTACTTAATTAATTAATTTCTCAAAGTTGATATGAAAGACACAATATAAATATCACACTTACCTTCTCGGTGTAAATCGGGGCAGTCCGTTTAGGTGGACCCATTACCAGGAGAGCGTGACCGGCGCGGGAGTGCGTCAGTCCGGCGGCATATCGAGACCTCAACACATTGAGAGCGCCACATTCGTTCAAACAACGCAGGGAGGCAATGTCTTCACAGCGCTCCAGCTGAATCGGATTCGCCTGCGGAATTATTAACATGATTTTTTAAAGATAAAAACAAGGTTAAGGTGGATCGGGACTTCTAAAAGTACTGTAGCCATTTATACTAATATATAAATCTACAGTGGTTTTTACGGATGTTCCGTTATAACTACTGAACCGTGCATCCGATTGACTTGAAACTTGGTATCCGTGTAAAAAATACATGTACTTAATGGATAGGCTCATATTTATATGAGTGTTGGATTCCCTACACTAGTTGCGGGGGCGTTAATGATGAGAATCTTTGTGGGGGTGAGAAATAATAATGTTAATTTTAAATGCCCAAGCAAAGCGAACGGGTACAGCTAGTATTCTTATAATATGAGGGATAATATTAATGATAATTACATTTCATACAGCCGTCTATAACAGTCATAACTTCTATGATAAGTTATTCGGAAGAAACGACCATTCTTGATAAGGCAGTCCATGGCTCTTATAAAACGTTGCAATGTTATTTATGTCGTCTAAACCAAAAATAAATCAAGACAGAGAAAAAACCATTTCAATAAAGTTATCGGTTGGAATTAAATTTTTCAAATTGAAATAGGCTCTCATGTTTTGTAGTATTTATGCAGCTTATTTAAAAGACACCCCCTTTTTGTGCCAGCCTCTCTCCCAGTAAATTCGAGGGGCTAAGTAGCCTCTAAGGTTTATTCTGGCTTTGCTATGACTGGCGGAGAAGGACACGGGGTTCAGCCTGAAAGAGTTTACCAACATCTGCCGTAACAAGAGCAGTGCTTCGCTGAATATACCACCACATCGCAATCGCGACCCATGGAGAATATCCGGCGAGAAACTCAGTGGATTGAGACACCCCAAGACAATATGATACACGATTTTAATTAAAACTAAATGGAACAATGTCATTATATTGTCGAGATATAAGATTGAGCAATATATACTGGTGGTATAAGCTTATAACGAACCTTCTCTAGGTCATCTTCATCAACAGTCAGGACCTCCCCGGTTTGTAGTACGCGTACTTTAGTGCGACCAGCTTCTGCGTCACCCTCTCTCACTACGGCAGTGAAGCCACCGCGATGCGCCAGCCACATGTGACCGGCTTGGAGCCACTCCTTTTCGCATGCTAACTGCTCCTCCGATTTTGCCTGAAATGAATAACAATAATTTAATACAAATCGAAGTCTCGAATTTAAATATATTAATAAGGGTTCAGATCGAGTTTTTTTTTCAGGGTTTTTACTGGTGGTAGGACCTCTTGTGAGTCCTCGCGGGTGGGTACCACCACCTTGCCTATTTCTGCCATGAAGCAGTAATGCGTTTCGGTTTGAAGGGTGGGGCAGCCGTTGTAACTATACTTGAGACCTTAGAACTTATATCTCAAGGTGGGTGGCGCATTTGTGCCGTAAATGTCTATGGGCTCCAGTAGCCACTCGACACCGGGTGGGCTGTGGGCTCGTCCACTCATCTAGCAATAAAAAAAAGAGTGCCGTTGAAATACACACTTGTATAATCAAAACTACTTTTACGGTATAATGTCGCGTTTTTTTATTGTCTTTGTTATTTTCGACTTTTCGAATACTGTTCAGTTTTCGTGATCTAGAAACGTCGAACCGTGATCATAAAATAACAATAAAAACTCGAAATTAAGCCTTAAGTTTTCATTATGTTTGCTAATCGCGAAAATTGAAGAAAGCACTAAATACTTATAAACAACGACATATTGTGACTTGATGTTGTAACTAGAAATCGATGATAAGACAGTGTGGTGCTAATGAGTTATTGCTTATATATAGCCCATAGTTTCTAACCGGAACTTCTCAGCGAGTCGTGATTCTTTCAGGTTGAACCATTTTTTTATGATTGAGCGATTACTCGTGTTCGAGGTGGGCTAGCAAGGGCTCAACCAGGAGGGGTGGGATTTGCTAACAGCTACCCGAGCGTCCCAAAGGAGACCTAACAACTCAAGAGTAGTTTGCGAATGAATCTACTACCGGATCGAAACCGCGACCCGCTGAAATATCCAACGGGAAACTCAGCGGGCTGATGTTTAGGTTAGATTGCAGGTCGAACTCTTTGCCAAGTTCGACGAGTGCGGTTACCGGGGTCCCTAAGCCTACTCCTAGTGTTAGAGCTAAAGGAGTCTAATGCAAGGGTTATTGGATCTGATGGAGGTTGAACCCATGAGCTACACCTCCCTGTCCGAACGTCCGAGCTGCAATAGTCCCTTAGAATACCAGCGAATAGATAGGGAGTTTTTTATTGTTTATCATAAAATTTCAATCAATCCTTTGTTATTATTCAAAAATAAATCGTGTTAACTTTGTGGGACCACAGTCTGTAATGTTCTATTTGCTGCTACCGCTAGCGCCTAGCCCAGCCTTTCCCAAAGTGGGCGATAACGTCCCCTTGTGGACGCTGCAGGCCTAAAGCGGAGACCCAGAAAAAAAATGGAAGCGTTGTGTAGAGGCTTGGGAGGCGATTTGTAATTTCATCTAGGAGGACTCTTAAACACCGACTGAGCTCTCGCTATAGTGGTTATTAAGTAGGCGAAAAAAATGGGGCGCTAAAAAACTAAGTCTCAAAGTGGGCAGTAGATAAAATAAGTTTGGGAGCCCCTGGCCTAGCCTCACAGAATGTTTGTGCAATGTATCATTTTTCTGCTTGCATATTTTAAGACAGCAAATGAAAAGATGATTCGCCATTGATGTCTCTATTTATAATAATTATCAATAAATTATCATTTATATAAACACTAAAACGATTTAATGGTGACAGATCCGTTACATAACACAATTGTAGACCGCAATTATATAGTCAGTGATATTTACGTCTTCTTATAACTATGGACTTAGGTATAATTAACACTAATAGTGCAATAAAGCATATCAAATCAAATAAAATACCGGAAGTCTAGTGATTTGTTGAAAGAAAACATTTAAAATTTATCAGATCGTTCCACAAACATTGGAAAAATTCATCTAAACCAATGCTCTGTCGGTCGCGCTTTCATTTCACTTTCTTTAAATACTTGTAATTCTTCGTCACGCATAGCTATCTTTGTATATAGTTCAGTTTTAAACCCAACTTTTTGTTTTATTCTATAACAGCAGCGGTAGGCAGCGGCTTGGCTCTGTCCCTGGCATTGCTGAAGTCCATGGGCGACGGTAACCACTCACCATCAGGTGGGCCGTATGCTCGTCTGCCTACAAGGAAAAAAAAAAAAAAAAAAAAATTTGTCCAAGGAATTCAAAAATAATTATTTTAGTAATTTTAGTATTAGAATAGTAGCTTGTGTTAGTCATAATATCAATAGATAACCAGCAAGCTACCAATAATAAGTACGAATATTTATTATAATCAAACACCATGTTACCAATATCGAATACATAATTTACTACATCGCATTTTAAGTACAAACACTTAGGACATAATCAAGCTTTATAAACACAATGTAAATCCTGAGCAGTTTTTTGCAAGTTACTTCGCTGTCCATAATAATGTTTCGAATAGGTATATGATAATTCAATAACTGGATTTGTTGTGAATACAATACAATCAAATGATCCATCTAATAAGACGACGAAAAGTTCAGCGTCTTCATTCATGGGAACCCAAATTACGCTATCATAAATCACCATCACTTAATTGTCATGTGTTCGAAGTTCGAAACCCTCTATTTATCTTGTCTATTGCACAATAGATTCAATTACAAAACAAACATAGTATAGTAAGTTTAAATTGACGGTGATCGAAGAGTTTTGTGCGATTGGTAATCTATGGCGGATATTCAATTATTTTTTATGGCAATTCCATTTTTATATTGAATTGCTTTAAACGCCTTCGGTGTGATGGGAGTATTGTGAAAATATGAGGAAAAACGATCATAGGTGAGAGCCGTCTTATGAAATAAAAGGTCTTTGGGAGGCTATTGAGATTGGTATTATGTAATTCAAAGTATGGAATTCAATTAGTAATGCTGAACCTTTGGCTGACCTTGTATTGAAAACTACACAGAACGGCAGTATTAATTTTATTTTTTATTTTTATTGCCGTATAGGCAGACGAGCATACGACCCACCTGATGGTGAGTGGTTACCGTCGCTCATGGACGTCAGCAATGCCAGGGACAGAGCCAAACCACTGACTACCGCTTAATAGTCTCCACGAGCCTCGTTTGAACAAGGACATGACATAGGGCTCGGAAAACAAGGTGAAGGGGAGCTCATTGCATAGCCGGATGGTACGTAGCAAAAAACATCTCTGGAAACACACTGTAGATGAACGTAGTGGCTCGAGGTAGTATGGATGAACTCTACTCCGGTCACGGGCGGTGCGATGGTAAAAACGAGACGATGGTATCATCTCGAACAATTCCTCACTCCGCACTCCCCATGGAACATACGGTACAAAATACAGAGGGAACCGAAGTCCCTCGCAGATAATTCAAAGATTATTATTTCAATAAAAATATTTGAGCGCCGTAGGACGATATTGCAAAAAACCTCAATCTGTGCATCACCCACACTGATTTACGACTAGGAAACGACTACGACTACGACGAACTATTTATTAAGCGCTGCCTACATCGATACCTGCATAGCTTCTACTTCTGATAATTATTAGGCTTCCGTATTCCAAGTATTCTAATTGCCGATAATAAATTATGAACAGTATTTTTTAAAGAGATCTTACCGCGATTTTTAACTATAGTAAATTCCGGATATGTCTTGTTGAATATTCATAAAGTAGATAGAAAAAAAATTGATAGTATATAATATGTATAATCATGTAATAACACAACGTCAATCATTGAACAAAACAAACTAAATAATCGTAAATTGTATTTGGTAAGAAAAGAATAACACAAACACAACAATTCCCAAAGCTAGTTCTAAATCTGTACAATCAATAATTTGAAATGTATTCAAGCTATTACAAGCTGAAAAATTATTTATTGAAAATTATATGTACGATGTTTGAAATAGGAATAGGATTACAGTAGTATTCCTGCTTATGTACAAAGTCAATGTAACTTGGCACGTTTAATTCCGAGATTTTTAATCTTTTTTTCTTTTAAAAACTTTAACATCCAAATGTATCATTCCGTTAAATCGACAATATGTTGCAGAACTGAGATATTTACTTTGATACGATTAATTCAATTGAAAGTTGCGTGAAGCGTGCCAGGCGAACACAGTCTATTTTTATTGTATTGTTGTCCGAATGAACGACACAATTGTTCTGTTTAAAGCGTTTGTTCCTCTATTGTTGTCATTGATGGCACATAATGTGACTGCGTAGTATTTTCCCAGAATAGCCTACCTCATCTCGTCCCGTGGGTGTTGGGAAGGCGACCACGGAATTCACCAGAGAACACGCAGCAGGATGTACTGCGATCGTCAATCGGTATTTACTAGTTGTATGTATCACTAGCGACCCGCCCTCGCTTCGCTTCGGAAACATTCAATTTTATTATTGATAGCTGCTGAGTCCCGTGTTGCTACCCAGAGTTATTGTCGTACCACGGGTGACGCCGCGACGACGACGACGGGGCGAAGCTAGTCTAAAAAAAGTAGCCTAAGTTACTCCTTATATCATTAGCTAACTATCACTGAAAGTCTCGTCAAAATCGGTCCAGCCGTTCCAGAGATTACCCGGAACAAACAGACGGACAGACAGACAGATAAAATTGTAAATGTTATTTAAAAAATGTTATTTTGGTGTATGTAACGTATAGGCATGTAGTAAAAAGCGGTTATTTCAACATTACAAACAAACACTCCAATTTTATTTATATGTATATATAAGACCGCATGCATAATTACCACCATGCTCCCTTATTCTCCCGCGAAGCAGCCATGCTTCCTATCTTAAAGAGGGTGGGACAGGCGTTGTATAAAACTATTCAGATTTCGACCTATCTCAAAGTATCTCAGAAGTATCAACTGTTAATAATGATAAAACATTGTTTTAGGAAAAACAGAACATAAAAATCATTCTACAAGAGTTTGCATCATTAGTTGGCTATACGTTCAAATTTCCACGATATAAAAACGAGAATAAGCATTTTTAACTACAGAATTTTAAAAGCCATTAATTAATTTTATCTCTTACGATACATTCTGAATATATCTACCACATAACT